TGTCAAAGTCTCGTCGAAATTACCATTCATTATATCAGCGTGATACACGCGCTGGTGATGAAATCGGATGCTGGCCACTCCCGATTCATCGCGATCAAGGTCGTCTCGGAAAATCGGAAGCGCTGCGCATTCTAAGAGGAGATTGGCATTTGCGCGATTTAGCTCACAGCCGGTTTTTGTCGATAAGAAAATTATGCATATGTCAACGCACGTATCTCGGATATTGAATATAGGAAATAGGAAAGGTGAAAAATCTAATCCATGTCGGCGCGCAAGATATAATTAATGATGTTTTTGCAGAAAGTTTCTTCGTATATAAATTTTTACAATTTATTAATCTTTTCTTACTTAACGAAAGCCGCATCTAATCATGTGTCTTTTACAGTTTTTAAAATTTTTGATATTAAATATTACGGTGACCGATAACAAGGCTGAAATAAAAATTATGCCGAGTAAATCCAGTTGAGATTAAAATTCCAATTGCATTTCTTCGAGTTTTATCTTTTTTCGATAAAATTTGAAATATTCGCGAACGCGAACGCACCTCTTCGATCTGTGCACTTTGCTTTCTTATCGCGACTACATCTGAACTCCATCCTGTCACGAATGGTCGGAGAGGAACGAAAGTAAAGGAAATTCTCAGAGAAATAATCAGGATATTCATGGCGTATCCGGCACGTCGTCAAGTTTATGTTGTTAAGCGCGCGTCAGCACTGTGGAACCAACTTAGACTGTAGGAATTATAAATCATTCCATCACAACTGCTTGTGCGTCGAGGTGCCAATTATACTCACAGTTTGAGACACAGACTGCAAAACGACCTATTCCGGATCATTGTGGATTACATAAACGGATATAAACGAAAGTTACGATTTCTGCGTTACGAACGCTTTCGCATCTATTGAATTGCAAATTTAAGTGAATCTTAATGGATAATTCATGTGAAATCAAAACATCCAAATATGCGCAATTTCGAAATATCTTTATTATATATCTTTATAAACTTCGAAATCATATTAAAATCAACTTCGTTCAAAGATTGATCGAACATTTTTTATTTATTTTTTTGTTAAAAGAAAATGTTTTTTGCTCTCTTTTTAAATTTATTTTTATTTATTTGTTTTTCCCATTAAAAGTTGAAATTAAAAAATTTCCTAAACTTTTAATTGTTCGTTTTAACTAAGCACGAAATTGATCGCAGAATCGATATGCGAAAAAAGGATACGAAAGATTTAGGAGACTCTGCACATCTGTATGCCGCGCGTTCAAGCTTGAAAGAAAAGAAAAGATATTCATAGGCGAAAGTATCTTTTCGAGCGATCTATCATGCTCTCTTAAGGTCGCGATTGAAAGATATCGATTATTCTCGCGCTCGGTTTCTTTCGTCTCGTGACTGAACGACGAAAATAAATCGTGGCTCGCGCGCATACAATTATCACTCTGTTCCGAGGAGAAAATGCGCGCTTTTATGCGCTGGGTGTTTGAACGTTAAATTGACCGTTTCGGGGACAGCTTCGACGAAACGGAGGCAAGACGTCGCGCGCGGCGGCACCGCCTTGAAGGCAATAGTACCGGAATAATCTTCGCGAAGAGCGCAATTTTCAGAAACGCAAGGTTTAGTAGCTTTCCTTCTTTGTGCGCGGCTGATCTCTCCTTCGCGTTTACAATTATTATCGCTCGTTGCTGCGGTCACTATTAAAGTGGAGAAAATTCTCTTGAACCCACGCCATAAAAATGCCAAAGTGGATTGTTATGGCTACATTCGTATCGTGTGTATGCAAATGCGCTTCTCTTCGGCCCATTGTTGCCCGTCGGCCGCGCGATGTTACGCGCTGTCTCATCGAGCGAAACAAGCCGCGTCGTTACGATGGAACGTACGTATAGATGAATGATTACTCGCGCCGTGCGCGTACGAAAGGTATGCATACATTTCGAAAATATTAGCTCTTACTCGCTGAATAATTTGCCGCGAGTGAAGTATGGACTAGTCATCGTATGGATAATTGAATCCAAACTGTCAATGTTTATTTTCATTTATTTTTTATAAGACTTTTACTTAATTATCGTTTACATTAGTATTTATTTAACAATTGGCACCTATATATTGTCCGAAAGTGCCCGGATTATTTTAAATCGTAATGTCATTTGTACGCCGCAAAGGGGGCGACTTCCCGATTCGGCTATCTGCGGGTTTTTCCCGTCGCGAGGCATAGCGGCGCCGCAAATACGAGTAGATTGAGTAACCGCCGCCGACAATTGTCGGTTCCCCCATCCCGTGTGTTTGGCTGTGTCGTGCGAGAAATATTAATACTTTCCACTTCCTTCCGGGGGACCCGGCCCCCTCCTTTCGACACACTGAATTCATCGCAACTCGTTTACATACGGCGTGTGTACGTAAACACGCGCGACACAGGGTCGAAGCTGAAAACGCACACCCGTCGTTTCTCACTCGCTTGCGGCCACTCGCACTTTTGAGCGCGTGCGAGAGGGTACAATTAGCGGCCATCGCACGCCGCGCTGAGTTACACACAATAGCCGGGTGGATGGATGCCTCGCGAAATTGCTTACGGTCTATATACGGTGCGGTTGGTGGTTTCGTTTCGCGGAGAAACGTCGAACTGTGTGCAAATCACTACGCAGAACCGATTTTTTTCTCTCGTTTGTCTCTCGACGAACACAGTTATTTTCTTATATTTTTTCCCGTCTCATTTCAAATAACCCAGTTTTCATTCAATTGTTTTGAGGGAAGCGATTTTCGCGCGATTCTCGCATCGCAAACGTTAATATAATAAAAACTTATTGATGGTGATTTCTATAAAGAAACTGTTATTGTTAAGTGCAGAAGTGGAATGACAATTTGTATTTCATTAAGTTTCTCTACTGCGCGAATAGATTGAAACAAGATGGAAAATAGTGCAAAATTGAAATTTTTCTTGTCGAGGTGCAAGTGTAAGAAAGCGAAGGTAAGAAAAGCAATACATGCACTTCTTCAGCCTATTTTCCTGTTAGCTACTTGCACTCTCTTTGATTTTGCACTATCAGTGTTAGTTTCTTTCGCATATGAAGAGTGACAAAATCAAATTCGCAGCTGGTAAACGCGATTATCATGTCCTCATCCTTAAACTTGATCGTATTTGCAACCAGATTCTCCCGGCAGTTTTGCTAAAATGTGCGTCTGATAAGATGAGATAAATTAACTTTCATTATGAATTATAATAAAAATTTAATTAAACTGATTTATATTTATATATTGCAATAAGAATTTATATAATATCATTACTCTATTTAACCATCAGAAAAATCGTGTAAAATTAATCACGCAGATTTAATTAATATAATTTATATTAATATATTCTAATAAGAATTTATATAATATAAATTTGTTTACCCATTAAAAATTCACGTAACGAAGATTTAAGGAACATAATACTGTAATTAAAATATCTTTTGCCCATTATTTTATTTTCTTCTACTTGCACATGGCGTTCGAAGAAGCGCTATCGGCGGCTAAAATCGAGGACGGAAGTTCTCCACGATAACTACGGACCTTCAGTAACGGCGCGGCGTTCGGTCACGATCATCAATTAATGTGCTTGTTATAAATTTTTATCATCGGACAGAACCCACAAAATGTACCTTTCGTGGATCCGATATTTTCTTAATTATTATTTTGCAACCAATTATGCGGAAACGAGCGCCCATTAAATTATCATGTGCTTTTGGTCACGCATTAATTTTATGACAACCGGTCCTTTAATCTCGTATTCAAGTTTCTGCAAAAATATTCTCTTTAAAAATGTATTTATATAAATTAAGTAACAAACAAAGTTTTGAAAGATCTCGCGCAATTTTATAAAGATACATTAAGTAGCTTAGCGATCTTGTAAGCCAATTTTCATAAATGTGCAATTTTAAATTCGAGACAACCTTTGTAATTTATGCGTCGATCGGTAGGAGAAATTTTCTTCATTATATCTCTCGTGTTGCGAGATTTATACGAAACCTGTAAGGTCTTCCTGGCAGGTAACGGAAACAAATTGCGCGTTTAAAGATTGAAACGGCTTTCCCAGGATTGTATTTCGCGTTACATCGCAGGCTAATTTTATGTCATTAACATGCGCCTGATAGCTGATTTTGCGCGATTAACATACGTTTCTCATGCGTAATGCTTGATTTTCGTCATGTTTATGTATTCTTAGCGATTATGATAGGCCGGCTCGCGGCGGTCTCGTACCGGATGGAAAACCGCTGCAATTACTAGTCATCATCTCGTAGATGACGCCAGCAGGAAGCGGTAGCTTTATCCGATTTTACACGAGTCTAGAAACGGATGACGTTTCGCAAAAGTTCAAGATTCGCGATCGCGATTGATCACGATACGCCGTTCTGCGGCGTATGGTAAAGTAAGAGTGATATCTCGGTGAAATCATCGATGACGACGACGACGTCGGGAAGCCGCGAAACGCCGCCCGCGGACGCGACTTTCGATTCTTCCTCGCCTTCGGGCGAAGCAGATGCGAAAGCGGAAGACGTATTCGTTTTGTTGTCGAGAGAAACAAATTGTCTCGAAAGTAACGAATACGTGGTGGAATTTTATGTAGCCCGAAAAATTGAGAATTATAATATCATAATACAAACGAATAGAAAACAAAATATGAATAATTTGATAAGAATTCTGTCGATATTTTAAAATTGCATTAAATTAATAAGTTTAACTGTGAAAAATTTCGACTAAATTCTTTAAAAATTTAATGAAATATGTGACATTTAAATACAGATATATTCTTAGGCGAATATTGTTAACTTGTTAAACTCTAATCGTTGATTGCTTCGTTGAGTGGACCGAAGCTTATCATTACCTTGCGTAAAAGGCGTTCGATTACGCGGCCTAGTTTGATATTTGACGCGTGATTGGATCTTTGAAACCTCTCTTCGCTTGATAACTATAATCAAAATTGCCGTTCATCAATTTATTCTAATCAATTCTATGTGTGTTTCAGGTGATTACTAACGGTCTCAAGTGCAACTCGGACGACGTGGACGGTTTGACAAACGGTGAGTCACTCGACATAACTCTCTCTTTTTGCTTCTCTTTTCTTTTTCTTCACGCATTCCTTTGTAAAGAGGCGCAATCAACGGTAACGATAGCAGGAGGTTAATTTCATTCGATACACTAAGGCGGCACCTTAGTTTCATTGACGAAATTCCGCTGCGCGAAGGCGTCGTCAATGAAACGGCTCAGGACGGTACGAAGATTTCGGAACAAGCGTCTCTCTGATCCTTGACTTCTATCTTCATAAAAAAATAGTTAAATTTGCGCTTTGATTGTTACCGCCAATTTAAAAAAAAAAACATCTTCATCAAAGACTTACATAAAATAACTATTGCGCAAATTTTCTGTATGAAAAACAAACGTAAATTACATAGCTTATAATTTATTAATATGTAATTAATTTTTTTATTAAACATTTAGAAACTTGTTAAGACTTTATTGCTTAAATTTCATTAATTTGATTCGCTTGCTTCGATTTTGCATTATTTGCACACGTAATTGACAAACTTAAAACCCTGTCGTTATATTTTAGTGCCATATTAAGTACGTCGCAAAATTAATATCTTTAGAAGTCTTATTAGCGTGTTAAACAGATGGGCTAGCGATGAAAAAGCGATTTTATCCGCGCGCGAATTTTATCGTGACTTTCCTATATTGCTCATTATCGTTTTAATTGGATTCTAATGTTCAAAACTTTTTGCACTCGCTGGAAACTCTTATGGTCCCGTTTTTATAACTCCGACTAATTTATAGCTAACGGTTTTCCCCTCGTAAATCAAGCGCGCAGATATATCGGCATTTTTATCGGCGTTTATATGATGCGTATGAATCTAATTGCGCGACGTTTATTATTTTTTAATATAATCGCAGTTGTTTCGCATTCCATAGATAATTCCGCCACTCGAAACACGTGCCTTGATTGCGGATTTATCTCTTTTGCCCGAAAAGCTTGCGCAATGTGTTTGCTCGATTGTTTTAAATTAGTCATTACAACCTTAAATACACTTGACTATATCTTTAAACAATCTCCAATTGAACGTTTTTAAACAAATCATTGTATCTTTAAATTTCTAAGATTACTTAAAGCAGCTGGTTTGACACGCGCCACGTGTTCGATATCGGAGCGTGTGCTTCGAGTGACGGAATTGTCGATGGAATGCGTAACAGCTGTGAATTTTATCGAAATTTAATGAACAGGGGGTGCGATAAAAATGCCATTCTTTATACCGAGAGCGATTCGCGTTATATATAGCACACGGATTTCTCGGATGACCGCAAGACGAGGATTTTGTTCTGCGGCCGGCAAAGAGAAAGCGCGTTTTTTCCGATGATGTAACCTGTCGTCCTCGTCCTCGGCGAGGAAGTTGCGACGGCCCTGACTTTGCCCTTCGGTCACTATCATCATCCCGACGGGTGCAAGTGAGCGAACGAGTGAGCAAGCGAGCGAGCAAGCGAGCGAGCAAATGAGCGAATGAGCGCGCATGTGGTGTGCCTGCAACGACGGCGATCCGACCGCATTTTCTCACGCTACTTCAGCTGCTCCTTGCCGTCGGTGCAATGATCTCCCTTTCGTGGCCGCACATCTGCCTGAAAATTACGTTCCGGGCCGGCTTATGACGGCGATTCATCCCTCCCCGTCCCGCGCTTTGCTTCTCCTCCGCACGCGACTCGTTAATTCGAGATCCGCCGCGTCATCTCTCCGAGCAGGACGCTCTCCCTCCTCCCCGTCACTCTTTGTCTCGATATTAATCCTTTGACGCACTTCGGAAGTTAAAACAGTCCCGCACCCTTCGTATAATTTTCCTATCAGTAACCGATCCATACAGTGCCCCGACAAACTTCTCATCAATTTGAATTATATTTTAAAGGGATGTTGAAAAGACGCTAATTCTCGAGTAATGAATTATTAAAAAATCGAACATTTCTCTTTCGGGATTTGAATGGATAACAAGATATTATTCTTCGTCTGTAATTATAAATTGAAATTTGGTTGCGTAATATTAATAAAAGAACAGGGAGAAAACGTGTTATCTAATAAAAAACACTATCCCGCAAAGAGAACTAATTTTAAAGCATTTTCTCGTTTATTTTAACGTGTACGCAGGGTATTGTAATGTTCCGCGTATTATTCAAGAAAGTAGTTATAAAAAAATTTCTTTGTTTATTCGTGACTTGTAACGAACGTTTCACGTGCCTTCGCGATCGGATACTTTTTTTTCTCTCTCTGCTTTTATCTTCCATTCGTCAAGGTCTTCTTTTGGCAATTATTGCGTCAGTTTTACGGTATCATTGCGCTGATTGCTTCGGTCGTCGGTTAACGGTGCTTTGATCGGCGTAGTTTCGCCCTCTTACCTGGCTTTGTTCAATATGGAAACCAATTGCGTGCGACGGTGATAAAGTTAGGTAAGCGCGGCGGTGAAAGCAGGAAGGAGGAAGAGAGGATGCCGAGTTCGTATCGCGTCGCTGATTATTAGATTATTATGTCATTTTTAATTTAATCCGCGGTCGGCGTAACGTAAGGCAATCGAAAGCACAAGCGCTCGCGTTGTTGTTGATGAATCCGGTGTGCTCTCCTTTATCGGGATTCAAGGATAACCCTAATTAACGCTATCATGAGATATACGCGGATAGTTCCGTAATTAGACTCCAATCGTTAACGAAGAATTAGCGATTACACCGTAACCGCGATTACGGCCTTAATTTAATTACGACTTCAAGCGCGGTGCGTTTCTCTCGAATTTAAAGCCATCTCGAAATCCGCGATTAAATGAACGTATTTAACGATAAAAATTAATTGCGTAGCAAGACTAGTCTAATGGTTCTGTGTTATCGTTTATTATTTCACTTTTTCTTCACGCCTCGTAATACTTGTTGGTTTTTTTTTTTGCGCATTAATCCACGTTACGAAGCACTTTATACGGAGTTTTGCCGACCAATCTACAATTTTAAATAAGAAAACACTATTGTTTCTTTGCGTTCAAACGAACGTTGAACGGAGTCATTCGCGAGAACTTTAATACAGCTCTTAGTTATGAAGCCATTTATATTAAACATTAAAAAGTTGTAAGAATTGTGGGAAAATTTTTCTTAAGGAAGAAATCGGTTTTATGTTCGAAGAATTAAGATGGGATTAATAAAATGGATGGATAGATTAGACTTTATGATCTGGTTTTATTGTATTTATAGTTTTGTAAATCTTTGACGAAACGCTCCGCCATCGAAAGTGAGAGCCGCGTTTTAGCTTATCGAGAAATTGAGAAGAAAGTGTCGTTGGGGGGATATTTCGCGATATACTACTTTCGTTTCGCATCTCATAGCGCTCGTCATTATTTCGGGTACACCCATATACATCTTTTAACGCCACGCTATGAGAGAAGTGGCTGCGTTGTTCTGCGAGGCTGTAAAACACACCGCTCTGCACGCGGTTAACAGCGTCGCGCCTCGCCGGGCGTCGTCCCTCACGCGAAATTCGCTTTCCGCTCGTAAAATCCAGCAATCCGGATCCAATGCAATTCCCTCTCCGCGATAAGGGTTGCCGACGAGAGCGCACACAAATGCATTATTATCGAGGGTTCGCTGCAACTGCCAGATCGTTCGATGACGAGAACGCGAGCTTCCTGTTTTTTAAATTTATTACTAAATTATTAATTTTTTTGCAAAATTTGACTTAAATTTTTAAATGAGATATTTCGCAATGTTTAAGTTTTGGAACATAAATAATTAGGAAGTTTTATCGATTAAATAAATTCAATATTGTGTAGTTTTTGAATTTTTTTTAAATTTGCTATATCCATCTTTTAGGATTTTCGTGTTTTTATGTCTTTGCATTCTCGGGACTTTTCGTAACTTAAAGCCTTTGAGATTAGCCTTAAGCTTTCTGATCCATAGATCTGATCCTTTCATTCTTTGTGTCTTTTGGAAATTTTATATCCTTTATGTAACTTTTTTGAAGTTTTACAAAGCTTATAAGCTTACTTTTATATGTAGACTTGTCTAAAAAAAATTTTGCAATTTATGTTAATTTGCATTAATTTCAAGGCTCGTGAAAATATTGATCACACAATCGTTTGCAAAATCTACGGAAATTAATGAATTTCACACAAATCACGGCAAATTATTTGAGATCGTATCAAACTGTGGCTGTAGCTCGCATTGTATAATATCGTCCAACGTCGGCGAAACGTAATCGCGCGTGTGGAAATAGAATTATGTCACAGCATACTACATTGTTATTTTCAGCTGCTGGAAATTCAATTATTTCCTTGTCGAAGCAGAATAAGGTGGCAAACGACATGTACGCTCTTTTATAATCCTGTTATCCTGTTACTTACATGCACTTTTTTCAACTTTGCATTATCAGTTTCTTTTCAGCTTTGCATATGAATGGTTATAAAAGAGCGTTCTACAAGATCCGCACGAATATATATATATACTGTGAATGTCACTATCATGACATTTTTATGGAGAATCATGTTCCTGAATTTTCAATGAAATTCTTTTAGCATTTTTGCTAATATGCATACGACGATACAATATTAATTGCAATTAATTTTAATTATACATTGCAATAAAAAATAAATTAATTTACTACAATATATTACAATAAGAATTAACATAATATTGTTATTTTAATTATTCTTTAAAAAAGTCTTATAACGATGATTAAAAAATTTGTTATTACTTATTTTTTATACTCGCACACAGCGTTTGAAGGAACGTATGATCGAAATCTTGGGTCACGGAAGTTCTTAGCGATAATGCGTTACAATCATAAATTGATGTAAATATTTACATCAGAAGCCCATAATGTGTCTCTCGTTGACCCAGTGCTTTCGTAATCGCCATTTTTCATAACCAGTTATGCGAGCGCGCTGAAATTTATTATGTTCTTCCGGTCATATATTTTGGCAACAGGTTTCCAATCTCTGTCTTGATCTTTCTGCAGAAAGTACTCTCTATAAAAGTTCACAATAGTATTAAATAACGAATAAAGGTTTTCGAGTTATAGAAAATTATTAGTGTCAAAAGATTTTCTTGCATGATTGCTTTAAAAATGCATTGGCAATTTTCGTCGTACAAATCAGCTTGTATAAATCTAATTTTATCTTTGATTATATATTCTAAAAGTTTTGCACAAATCTCTCGAAAGATATTAAGCAGTTCAAGTAGCCTTTCGTAAATCAAATTGAGATCAGTGACTTTTACGGGACTGACGACGCGCGTCGCATACGTAGATGATCGCGTAACAGGCGCCCGATTGTCGTGCCATCTTACTGTACATCATGCTTCGGTGCACTTAAATTCAGTACTGTTCGACAGGATACGTCATTATTCAGCGAAATTGGAACAGCACAAAAAATTAATGTATGTTATTAATTTACATGTAGACGCGGCGGCACGTGATGGAATAATTAATTAATTTTTTATGATAATTTTTTATTTTAAAGATCGCACTTTTTTCGGAAAAAGATTGATATTTCTAAAATAAATCTTATCGTGTTATTTATTAAAAATAGTAATTACGTAATAAAATTTAATAATCTTTTGGAGAATTTTTCTCGCATAATTTAAGTATTTTTTAATACTTTCGAAGGATAAGGCTTTCCATTATTCATTGTCGATTATGATTATATTTTCGTATGGTCAGACCAATCTGTATTAGGCTCGAATATTAATTTATCTCGATACTGCACGCTTATCTCCAGCAATAATGCATCGCATACATGCGCTCGCTGCTCGCTATCTCGCGCTTTCAAAAATTCGGATCAATGCACCGCGACGGCAAGTCAATGACTGCGAATAAATATGGAGAATAGATACATCAGTGAACGACTGACTAAGAAATATCGGCTGAAAATACCGCATGATATCTCTTCAAAATACGTAAAAAAAATATTTTTATCACGTACGAAAAATATTCTCTTCTAAAATTTTTGAATGCCGTTACTTTCGCGTGTAAAATTAACTTAATAATAAAATTCAAAATTTTGAATTAATTTTATTGGTCAAGTATACTACGACTTTTTTCTAATAGCATGTGTTTTTTTTAGGCGCATTATCCGATTTCCATAAAATCGCGTACACTGTTCGCGCATTGCACGCGAAACGCCGACTTACTTTCGCGACCTCGTTTCGCGTCTCGATCGAACGCTTCATTAAGTAGCTGGAAATAAATTTGCCCATTCTTCGTAGTGCGAATGTACTGAAAACTTCGGGATATTTTGCATCCACGATTTTTTTAAATTTTGACAAAATTAAGATTCTTCGATTAATTACTTTATCACGATATATTTAGATTAATATAATTTATAAACAATCTTTTATGTAACTAATGTTAGGCAGTAACTTTTATCAATGTAAATTGAATGAGATTCTTTTTTTAGAGAGATTTTTATTTGATGATTTTATTGTTATCTAAAGTTCACAGAAAGAACGGGCTATATTAATTTATTTAATATATCTTGAACAAATGGATGATAAGCAACGGATGCCAAATGTCACACTGTCGATATTTAAATTCCAAAACGCGAAACAAATCCAAATACAGACAGTAAAAATCGCGATACAAAGTTTCGACAACGCAGATCTTAGCGTGAAGCTGCAATTTCGAAACAGTACGATTTTTATCTGAAAATGTTTACGTCTTCTTTCGCAAAGAGAACGGAAGTCGAATATACGTGCAAAACAAACATCGCAATAAATATCTCCATAATCATTGTTTATGATTTTATGATATTTTTATTTTATTTTTCTTTATCCGCCACTCGTTGGTTTTGTTAATTTTTAAAAACACTTGATCTTCATATACTTCCAACTCTGCATTGTTACCGCGCAGGTCGCGGCTTACATAGGCCTTGAGCATAACGCAGTCTGAATGTAAATCTAGCGAAAGAGGGTTAAAACGCTTGACCTCGTTCAATCGTAGCGGAAACGCATCGTTTATTTCACCTTGAGTCGCGAAAAAGCAACTATCCATTCGTCCGGCTCTCCGATCCCATTAGCACAGCTCTATGCGCGAAGCCCTACGCAGAAATATATAGAACTTCTCTCTTTGATACGTCACGTACTGGACAAATGTCTCAGTTGCGATGTGAAACTACGATGTGCGAGCAAGGCTCGGTCAGGGCGAGAATAGCACTGTTAGAGGGTAAATACTTATCAGTCGCAGGGTGTATTTTCGCTGTTCCTGGATTCACGATATAATCAATATGTTATTTTGCTAAATATATTTTATAAAACTCTTATTTTATTCAACTTTATTTATAAACAATTGACTTGTCTCGAGACTACTTGTCATTTGTGCAACCATTCCTATCGTAATTAAAGATTTTAGTGCAGTGGCAATCTAATGCATTTTTTTAATAAAAAAAAAATTGAAAGAATATTTTAGGCTATATCGAGATTTTTTTTATTTTAAGATTTATTTTCTCTTGCAAATTCTTACGAAAATAAATCAGAACTGTTGCACACATTTTTCACTCCTCGTGTTAGCGTTTGAGATTTTATTTGAATACTAGTGCTGCTAACTCTTGTGCAAATGTAGCATGAAACTCGAATCTTTTTTGATCGAAATTCTGATCTCGTAAATTTCAGGAAGAAAAATGGCACCGGTTCTTGGCGTACCGCCTCCGCCACCGCCGGCTCCTCACATGGGACCAGATGGCCTGATCTTGCCGAGGAAACCATATAACCCTTGCCTTATCTCCACTAATCATAAGGATCTTCACAGAGAGTTACTCTTCAATCAGAAAATGTGAGTTGCTACCAAAATTTCTGTTCTTTGCAAGGAGAAATTAATTAAAAAATAATTATGTTTTTTTTTAATTACTGTCTTTTGCTTTCTTGATTATTGTAGGCGTCGAATGCCTTCAATTAAAGTTTCATAGAGTGTCATAATTAATCTAGCTTAATTGTGCAATAGGCCTATAAAACTCAACAGAGCGATCTAATGCAATTTTTTTTAATTAAAAAATATTGTATCATTAATTTCTTTCTAGCGAATATCTTTCTAGTAGAAAAGTGTTCTTCAGTTCGATAAACATTTTTCACTCCATCTAGCAACAGTGTATTAAATCGGAAGTGGTTCGTAAAATGAATGTGTTAATATTTTTTTTTCTTAAATTAAATTTTCTTTTAATTAATCCGTTCAAAGTGAAAAGTTGATGAAAAGTTCTCCAGCTAAGTAAATAGTTTTTTTTTGCACAATGTGGCGAGGAAGAACATTCCGCGAAAGATTCTCCGTAAAGTAAATATTTTACTGCTCCTTCCCTTTATGGACTACAGGATTAATCTCGCGAGATATAATATCCGCGATGAAAATGGAAAGCCAATTACCCGCGTGGAAAACTTCCTGATGAAAGTTGGCCGCGCGCGTGTAGCATAACAAATCTTATTTTCGTCGTGGGGTATCAATAGGGTATCGGATCGTATCAGACTGATCGGCATAAGCGTCGCTCCAAAAAGAATATTATTTCACGCACAGTTAGATTTTCGGCCAATCGCGATCGATCGAAATAAGAATACGATACGTTTCGACGTTGTTTTGCTGCCCGATCTAATCAGCACGCGGTTGCGTACTCACACCTGCGATTCTTCACGCTTCGACGGAATTGAAGCGGTGGTTCACGCTCACCGACTTTTACCTTGGCACGCAATATTCAATTCACACGTGGCTTTTCCACGTGCGATTAGAACAATATAATCCGCAACGTATCCACAATACATTTCTACTTTATGAAGATATTCAATTTTTGTAAAGATTTTAAAATGTAATTTTAAGAAATATAAGAAATATGCGCGATATGGCAGAAATATTTTATCTTTTATTTGTTCAAATAATTATTGCAAGCAAAACTGCTTTTTTTTTTATCGAAAAAAAAAGATTGCACGGATAAGAATTTATTAAATACGCGTTTTTCTCACTTTTCGCAGCGGCAAGAATGTCTTGAACCAGAAGAGCGAGCTGCAACGTGCGCTGGAGAAACAAAGAGAAGCTGCGTCGAGAAGGGAAGCCGAAAGGATCCGAGAGGAGAGCTATAAGGATGATCCCAGGACCGCCTTGCAGAGGGCGATCGAGCAGAGAGCAAGAAACATTCAATTAACGGTAACGCAACGTACAATTAGATAATGAAAATTATTTATGAATCCTTATATCGTCGAATCCTCGAAGATTCAATCAGGGTTTTCGAAATGTTCGAATTCTAATCCTCGAATCTTCAATGAAAGTAAAATTCGCAATAACGCGCAATTGTCTGTTCGCAGCAAGAGCAATCACAGGCGACGCAGCCGCCGAGCAACCTTTTGATAACGGCGAGAGCGAAGCTGAGACCTCGCACCGAGTCTCAGTGAATCCCAGCGGATCGGATCGTGATCGGTGGTCGCGCTAGCCGCGAAGCGACGTCACGCCCGAGCGGAGAGAGGACGATCGATCGTACGTGCGATCGATCCGCTCGGGCGGCTCGTAATTTCACACCCCGGCGCCTTATCGATCGCAATCAGTGTACATACGCATAACCCGATAAGATTTCGTCAACACGAGGATTATTACGGCGTCACTCGGCGCGTTCGTAGGTGTGTTGTAACAGAGACGTTGAGACAAAGCGCGCGAACAGAACGTCACGAGAGCGTATTTAATCACCGATCCCGAGCGAGAGGATCCGTCTCGAAGGACACGTGGGGTACTTAGCACATTACGATCGCAAAATCATTCCCAAACAGCAACGCGAGCGTCCCGAAGATTAGGACTGTCTTTAGGACGTCGTTAAAACGCCGTAAAATTACGATGCCGCTTGTGTATCGTCCGGATCAAGTGTAACGCGCAAAAGGAGGCTCGTAAAAGAGCGTCTCGATGTACAATCAGCAACCATGTGTCTTCGTCGCGTTTAGTAGTAAATCAATGTGCCGAGTTTAGCTTGACGAGTTTACGCCGGCGATAAATATTCCGGTTAATTATCGTAACGGGGATAATATGCGGGTAATCCGGTTATTATACGTGTAAACACCGACTTGAATGTAACGACCACAAGGTATTTTTTTTTTCCTTACGAGAATGTACGCTCGCGACTTCGTCGTGGGAACATCGGCAGCGCGGTAGTCACGCAATTCGGTAGTAAAATAGATTGACAATAGACAGTAGTGATAGAGACGGCGAGATAACGTGGAGGAATTTACTCGTGAATGACATCGTCGATCGTTTGAACAGGACGCTGTTCTCGTTCCGAGCCTTTGATCTTAATCGAGATGTTTCCTTTTTTTTCTTAATTTGGAAAAGTTCAGTTTTCGAAATTATTATTTATATTATATTTATAAAATTCAACAATGAATGAAACGCGATTGCTTTTATTCATTTGCGCAAAAAAAAAATTTATTGCAGCAAATATAATTTGAAAAATAAATATCGTTTGGTTTTCTCTAGTATTAGAACCGCTTAAGATTGATTGCTCGAACACACGCAAATGTCCATTCACGATTATGCATCCGCGCTTCTGGACGAGTTCGTGCATACGTGCCTAGACAATGATTCGCGACGCACGATCGCTTTCACTTCCCTACCTACCCTCCCGGAAGTCACGACGGTGTCTTCCACGATCCTCGGCGCAATTCGGGCACGTAGAGACAGAGTGTATTTTGTACGAAACTTATTCAGATCGTCGACAGTGGCATTACTTCGTTATAATCTTATTGGACACGTCATGTGTGAATAATCTGATCAACGAGTCACACGCGGCACACCGTAGGACGGTTCCGCGAAAATAATCGCACGACTTATCGTTGAGGCTCCTCGATTTGTCACTTGAGCTTCCGACGTTGTTAGTCAAAGCGTTGCTATAGCCGGCGATGACTTATCTGGGGCTTCAATGCTATTTATTGCTATGCGCAAACAAACGAGAATCGAAAATTGTATCATCATAATTATGCAGAAATGATGCCACCGGGAGTAAGAAATAATTTCCCTTAGAGAAACGAGAGATGGTAGTTGAGGACTCCGCGGGACCATGTGTTCGTATATCTCGTTGCATGGCAGCGAGAGATGTTTGACGTCTGCCCCTCGCAGAGTGACGACTATTACGAATCGTATGTATTTAGGTATGGAACCGACGTCATTATATTTCATGGCCCATTACATTTAGTGAATCTTGTGCGGACGCGCAATGCGCCTTAGATCTAAAATAACACAGGCCGTTCAGTTTGTTACACTTTTAATTTACCGATCTATAAGGACTTTATAACATACAATGCACGCTTGAACGTGTAAGGAAATATATTCAACATTTTCGGAGAAGCCACAAATGGAGAATACTTTCGTTTTCTTTTCTTTTTTTTTTCTTTTTGTACAATTGCCACATGTATGTATGTATGTATGTACGCTAGTTTATCGTTCTAACATAAATTTAGTCACGACATTCAAGAATTAAGATCGTCACAATATGGTAAATCTTGAATTCCAAATATATTTTATTCAAATCCTAAATGTCAACCCCGTCATTTCTAATCCTGCGTGTAAGAAATAATAATAAATGAGGTAAAAAAAGATATCACGACGAACACGATACAAATATAAATTGCTATCCCTTTTTTCGATACCTACAAAATCTGCATACCTATAAAAAAGAAAAAGAAAAAGAAAAAAAAAGAAAGAAACTCCCTAACGACGTTACATTTTATAACACGAAATGTGGTGTTCAATAAATACAATCTGTTATTTTTGTCATTGCAACTCACAACACTGCTGCGATGTTCTTTTTTACGAAAGAAAAAAAAAAACATTACAGGGAGTACATGATAGTACAGATTTACATCCAGAAAAATGCCACTTAGAAAAGTAAAATTATGGATAGTATGTAATTACAGTTAGAAATGCCACATTGCTAACACATTGCAATGATTATCGTTCGCGTTATGTGTACGAACGATAATCTTACGACGATGCTTTGACAAAAATTTTACATCAAGATTGAAAAAACAAACCCGATTCTCGATAATAATTCACGTAAAACAATTTAATAATCATCTCCGCGGGAAATAACTTCTTTACACGTGGGACGCAGAACTAGCGTGTGCTCGAACTGAGCGGTGTAACAGCCCTTGACATCGACCAGCGGTGGATAGGCTTCAACGGCGCCTTTCTCGCAGAGATCCTTCAGCGCCATTTGATACTTGGTGCAACCGACGCGGTCTAACCAGCGCTTACAGAAAGCTAAAGTACCTGAAATGCGAGTGAACACATCCATTAATTCATGCAATAAAGATTATTCACGCAGAGATGACGCTGTCAATTGATTTTTTTACATTATTTAAATATTATTTTAGCTCTCTCTCTCTCTCTTTCTCACCGAAGTGCTTGTTGATGGTATTGAGAAGAGATTTGCTGCTCTGCAATCTCAACGGCACAAAACCAGCGTCGAAGCTCTTCATGTAATGCGAACATTCCATGTCGTCGTGGACCACGCCTCTGCCGGTGGACCCGAAGGTTTCAATCGCGTAGAACTCGTTCTCCTCCATTCGAGTCGCCTCACCGCCTTTGACTATCGGCACTGTTTTTCCGGCGTGTATGCGATAGGGCGCGATGGAGTGGCCGTTCAGATTTCTAATCGATTTCACCTGCAAAAAGTTCAGTCTGTTAATTAAGTCCTGATATCTTTGATGTTAATTTGTTTATCAATCTCTGTTTTCGACTAACATTCGGGTGTATTTAATATTACAATTTTGTTATTTCGAAATTGAAAAAATGTATGTTTGCAATAATGTAAGATTTTACACATATTTCTGACGCTACAAAGAGTATACGAAAAATTGTCACTAAAATTTAATACGGAATCAAGACACATCATATTTCATGTGCAATATATGTATTTCATACCGGATACGTTCTGCCGTCCAGTTCCACCTCGTAAGATTCCATGACTTCCTGAATAGCAGCACCGACGTCGCACAATTGCACGTCAATTCCAGCGGCCTTGATACCGGTATTGGTGGCGTCGCGGACAGCCTCGATCAGCTTATCGAACTTTGGATTGAACGCCAAGGTAAACGCACAGTCGATGATACGCCCGTTGATGTGCGTACCGAAATCAATCTTGGTGACGTCATCGTACTCCAGCACGGTCGGATCGCCGGCGTTTGGAGTGTAGTGAGCTGCACAGTGATTACGGGAGCACCCAGTTGGAAACGCCAATCCGGCTTTGAGACCATCCTCGCCTATCAATTTTCGAGCGGTCTCCTCCAACTCGTTACAGATCTCTATCATAGTCATTCCCGGCTTTATCTGCACACAATTAATTAAAAATATATTAAATGTAATTGAAAATTATACATTTTGTATTATTTTGTAATTTAATGTGTTTAGAAATTAAGAAAAAAATTACATTTGCAATACTGTAAGTTATTTACCCATTTCACCATGTGGTATCTTGTTTGTCGATGTGCTTCAGCTGCCTGTCTAGCTTCATTATAGATATCATTGTGCATCCTGTCGAGGGCGCGCGCCTCCTCGCTCGTGACGCGATTTTTCGCCATTCTTTCATCTATTCCGGCAGCAGGCGGATGATCCATTATTTGCCCTACAGGAAAATTACCATCTGGGAATAACTCTGAGACGGGAATGCCTGGCGGATCTGTTTGCTGTTTCAAACCACCCTTATTTCTGGGCTTGCGCTTCTTTTTCTTCTTCTTAACTTCCTCACTATCATCATCATTCTCGTTCACTTCTGTAGCACCTGAGAATTTCATTTTCAATAATCATATACATTAGTTGTCACTGCAAACTAACTGTTACATTGGTTATCAATATTAAACTTTAGCACATAATCATAATTACAAAAATAAGAATAAAATAAAAACTGTTGATACCTTCGACAACCGGATTATCATTCTTAACCTTATTTTCTTCCCCTTCGGGCACGTCTGCACTAGCTTCTCCAGCACCTAAACAGAAACATTCATTATTGACATATAATCAAATAGTTCTTCGTTTTTTAATATTATTTCTAAGTTTTACATTTATCAATATTAAATATAAATTATTCTGTTAACATATGATTGGAGATTGAGCCATATCTGACCATTGAAGCATTTACTTCATAAGAAAACTGATATGTATGTTACAACTTCTCCAATTGATCATTTAATATTCGTTTCAAAGGCAATCGAATTATTCTAAGGCAACATTTATAATCTAACAAGTATCTTATCGTGGGCGTCAGAATCAAGCGTTTTTGACGACACAACAATTCGCACTGTTATGCAAAATTTGATGAAAGATTGCATATAAGTTTGCCAAAAGGCGAGTTGATAATCTTAACAACATTACGACCGTATTTTACGGAATAATAATAGTAAATAAAGGAATTCGGCATCGCAAGTGTGCCGCGTATAATATAGGATGACACTCGTAGGCGTTTAAATGATGGGTAAAAACGCACCGGCCTTCTTCTTCTTCTTCTTCTTTTTCTTCTTCTTGGAAGCCTCCACCGCTCCGGTCTCGTCTTCCTCGTCGACTATTTCGTCCTTCTCCTCGTTCACGAGTTTCTCGGAAGATTTGCCAACCTCGTCCAACACAGCCGCCATTTTCGGAAATGATGGCTAAACAATAATGTCGTGACGGTCGCGGCGTAAAATTCCACGACTCTGTCGATCGCGTAGATGAAGAAACCTAGAAGGGATCAAACAGGATTAAATTGTGAATTCATATTACAAATCGTGATCATTTGCGATGAATCTAAGGTAGAATAAAAAAATGTTCACATGGAAAAGGTAGCGAGAATGTGGATTCTTACACAGGTTATACGCCGTACCGACCTATCGCGAGCACGTGCGCGGAATTTTTACTCGAAAAATCATTGATGTTGTTAGGATCACATAACACTGCAAGAAGTTGTCGAGCTGCAGTAAGGTGCGAGTGGTGCGAGTTCGGCGTTCCACAGCTGACTTTACGGTATTAGGAATACAGGAATGCACGGAGGAAGTACAACTTTGGCCACCGAGTGTTGCGCTCTGTCGCTAGATGACGCGAAATGTAATTCTGCTTCTTCAAAATTCTGTTTGTCGAATATTGAGAAGTCACTTTGAGAACTTTTGCAGCTTGCTTAGGTGTTTAATTACCCTCCATCAAAATATGTTACTCTGATAACATTGGCGATTTTCTGAGGGCATCAAAACACGCATATTCTATAAGTCGTGCTATCTCTTATCTAATTAAATTTTATTATTTTTTGATAATTACGAAAAGCTAAATAAAAAATATATATTGATTCCGTTTTTACGTATATTTATTTTTAAAACGTTTTTCTCAGCATAAGTGCTTTTATATTATTATTATAATAAATTTTTGCTTTAGATTAACCAAATTTTATTTGTACAAAAGTATAAGTATTTTAATTATTAATATAAATTTATTATTGAAAGAAATTCACATAGAGATGTGTGGAAAAAATATTTCAAAATTTGCATTACTTTTTCCGTGTTTTCCTAATATCGACAATTTTGTCCCTGTATTGGAATATTTAAATTTACAACATATACCTCTTATTAAAATATATGATCCTGCTGACATTATGATCCTGATATCTGTTTTTCGAGGATATCGGGAAATTCATATCACAGTCCGCTCTTATACATATTTAAGACTTGAAAAAATCTATGGAAAATAGGACTTTACAAAATTCATTATGTAATTCAATGTTGGGTATTTTTAATTCAATGTTTTAATTACCTCTCTATTTAAAGATTTATGCCGATCATGACATTATATATTTCATAAATTCTGATACATTATTTACTTTTAAATATCATTTAAATGCTTATAATAAGATTAGAACATACAATGTACCTAAAATACTTTGGAAATATCGTAAAAAATAAAATGAAAACGTAATACATTTTTGCATCAAAAATACAAAAACTTTATCATGTTATCACAAAAGTGTAAATATTCGTAGCAAGTCTAGCCGCATGCACGATTTTACACCTGGACGATTGCTTTGCCGACGTTCTGACCCTGCAGCATGCCGACGAACGCATCGAACATGTTGTCGAAGCCCTTAGTCACAGTCTCGCGATAATGAAGCTTGCCCTCGAGGATCAACTGCAAATTTTGTTGGATTCCTTCGAACCAACGATCCCGCCACCGCCAAAAAATGAAACCTTCCATTCTTAATTGATTAACCAGTATCGCAGGTTGCAGAAGCGTGCTCTTCGGCAAGGACGACGCATCAGAATTGTACGACGAGATGCTGCCGCACACAGATATTCGACCGTATGGCTTCATCTGGTAAATAACCGTGCTCGAAATATCTCCACCAACCTGTAAGCAGAATTATTATGAGTTTAGTTTTAATATCTATTAATTACAAGAAAGAAAATCGTAATTTTTAATCAATTTAAAGTGCATTGTACAGAATACATAAATTAAAAAACTGTTAGGCATATTTAAAATTATAAAAAGTTACTTATAGGAAAAAGACAACTCAACAATAATAATCTATCTACATATATTTAACAAATTGAAATAAATTACGATATTTTATCGACGTACATTGTCGAAATAGCAATCGACGCCCTGCGGAGCGGCTTTGCGTAGACTAGCCGCAATTGACATGGTTTTGTAATTGATAACGGCGTCAAAACCCAACTCCTCGGTAAGCCATTTGGATTTATCGTCGGAACCACATATGCCGATGACAGTTAAACCCAGACTCTTAGCAATCTGTCCTACGTGAGAACCGACTGCGCCGGCTGCACCGCTGATAACGATCGTTTCGCCAGACTTTGGCTTACATACCTCTGTCAAACCAAAGTAGGCAGTATTGCTGTAAACACGAGTATTTATCTAACTGCTTTATAAATAAATAAATAATAAAACTTAAACTTTGAACCTTAATCGTACCATGTAAAAAGTTTAAATATAAGTTATTAACAAATTAAAAAAAAACAGTTGCCTCTTATTTTTATGTTTACTTCCGTTGCGGAACGATAAACTAGCGTTTAATGTTATAGGCAATTATGTAAATGCATTTTAAGATTTTCCATTTTACCCTGGCATTCCCAACATTCCTAAGCCGAGAGACGACGGTAGATCGCCTATGTCCGGCAAAATATACGGTGAAAGCGTCCCCTTGTCGACTTCGCCGGCCTCAGGATTGACAATTGTATGAGTTCTCCAGCCCAAAGATCCAACAATTCTCTTGCCAACTGGGTAGTCCGGATTCTTGGATTCGATGATTTTAGCAACCTGAGTACCGATCATCGTCATTCCTATTGGATAACTGTTTACGGTCAATCTCATATATGGGTCCACGGAAAGATACTCAGCTTCCACGAGATATTCTAAAAATATATGGCAAATTAATACTTCACTGTCGCCGATTACGTTAATAAAATAATGATTAATCGAATTTGAAATAATATCAATAATATTAAGAAAGATAATATAATAACACTAATATTGAATTCATAGTTAATGATAATAAATTTTACAATGACTAACGGTAAACATTTATAAACGAATCAAAACGTTTGTTTATATTTTATTTAATACATGTTTGTTATCATTTGGCATTTAAATTTTGCTTCTGGCTTGCCAATCCTTTCAGATAAGTTAAGAATTTATATTACCGTATATCGAGTGAATTAATAAATTTGAAATATAATAAATTCATAAAGTATAACATATAAGTGTGCAGAGCTGTTCAAAAAACAAATAAATTATTAACAATTTAATTAAATGTTTGATCAAATTTGCTGACAAGCTGCTAATAACCTTGTGTACGAAGTAATATAATAGTCATTATACCAAGATCATGACTCATCATAGATAAATACCTATAAATTCTTTCTAAATCACTTATTTTTTGCAGAGTAATGTTCTTCATTTACCATTCGCAAGCAGTTGTAAAATATTCATATTCATCGATGATGTACACATAGATACATACATAAGCACATAATGATGACTACTTAATTCTTCCTACCTCCATTCTTCAAAGCAGGCAATACTTCCTCCACCAAATTTAAGTCCGTCCTTTTTGGCTGGTCCGTGAAATGCTTCACCAGCACGTATTTCTTTGCTTTCACCATCTCGCGTAATTGCGTCGAAAACTTAAGGAATATATCAAGTTCTAACTCTGCGTTGTAATTTTGCCACAAATGCTAAATCGCAATGACGTAAGATGGCAATGACGAAGATAATTACACGATCACAGCTCCCGCTCTACTGCTTCAGTCGTATTCTTCACGATCAACTTTATACTCTCAAAATTAAAATGATATAAGGCTCATAAGATTTTCAAAATCAAAATTATTAAACAGGAGCGTAAAGAGCCAAAAAGTAAGTTGATCGTGCAATGGTTTATTACTTAATTTACATAATCATAAACGTTTCGGCTTGTCATCAAGCCCTTATCAATATAAATAATAAAAATAACAAAAAGGCGCAACGCATTAATTATGAAGAAGTGAGAACATGTTACAGTTTATCGGAAAAATCCATAGAAGAACAGCCGTAACGTTCGAAAATCTAGATTTAGATAGTCAAAATCTAGATTTTGACCATCATTTAAGATGGACCTAAGTGCTTCTCTTCTATCTTACTATTGAGTAAGAAAGAGCCTGACAAAAAAATCAAATATAAAATTAAAAAATTAAATAAAAATTAAATTACTATAGAAATAATGACTTCATCGAAGATATTAAACAAATTGTAGTATATTCGCATTTGTTAGAGGAATAAAGAAATTTTCTTCTAATAAATAATAACAGAGCAAGAACTTATATTTATTGTCATAAATGTAAAAAGAAAACCAAAAATATCAATACAGCTACAGTGCAAACTGCTAATGGATATTATGGAGACATGTAACTCAATGTAAAGTTTGTAAAACTTACAAAAATTAGTTTATAAAATCACCAATGATGCTAAAACATTAGAAAAAGTTAAAAAGAATTATACAACAGTTCGAAAAAAAATTTTTACTTGGAGAATTATAACATTGGGAATTGATGACATATAGACTGCTGATTTGGTAATACTGATTAATTATATATGTACAAACTTAGATAATATTATGTTATAGATTATAAATCCACGGGTCATGTTTTATTCCAATAATGTAGGAAAAATAATTGTTATCTATTGCAATATCATAGCTACTTCATATGTTGCTCGTCATATTCTGATATTCTGAAATAATTCATTTTACACGTACAGATTGAGGTTTTTAGCTTACAAATATTTTTTTTGTTTAGTTCTAAAAAACTTTTAACATTTCAAACAACATTTAAATCCTGTCAAGTCTTATCAAGTTCGAAACGTGAAATGTATGAGAGAAATATATACAGCAGTTTATTGCAAGAATAGTAA